CTCACCTGCTCCTCCTGGGAGAATACTAAGTAAACGGACTGAAGTCAGTCCATGTCACGTGAGAACATGACAATCAGTTCTGTGGTACTGTATACTGAAGCAGTGCGGGTCAAACACTCCCTCTGATGAATGTTGCTTAGGCGCCACCTGCTGGTCATGATGAAACATACCACTACTATTATCTAGAAGGAGACACGGCACCGTTTGTGAAACAGTTCCTAAAACTAACATTGAAAAGAACCTTTCCAGGTCAGTGTTCAAAGTGTAATACTTACACCTAACAGTAGGTGGCATTCAAAGGCAGTGTATATATATACAGTATATATATATTGTATATATATACTGTATACCCCAGCAGACTTCTTCTCAGTCCTGTGTCCGATCTTTGGTCTCCAGTGGTGGGGGCAGTGGCCCCCCCTAGTGTCCATGAAGTGTATAGTAGACTGCTGGTTTGCCTTTTCAGAAACAAAACCTATAGAGTGAAACAAGCGACATGTCAAATACTAACTGGAATATAATCACCAACATCAAATGATTATGACGTCATAATCTGACAACCATGAGAAATTCTCCAGATTATTCTGAGACCATTTTCATCTTCAACAACTTCCTAAAAGCCACAGATTAGGACGCCCCCCGGAGGAGAAAAATAAATCATGTTTGAATTTGACAGATCAATTTAGCAGCCGCTCTGTTTTTTCCTTTTCCTTTGGAGCCTTATCTTTGACACACTTGATCTGCCAATCATCTGAAGTGTCACAGCTCCCTGCTTTATCTCCACACACGGCCGAGAGCGGCCTCTGCTGGCTGCTGTGTCCATCAATGGATGTCTTTAAATGCAACACTTGTCTTTTTGTCTTGTCTAAAGTAGGAGATAAACACGTGCAGAGTGACGTATGAACCCACAGACAGTCGGTGCTGCAGGTCCTCGACCTCAGGCCCAGATTATCAACTACAGACAGAGAGATTTATTTCCAGACTGAGCTGCGTCTACAGACCAGCCGTCAACAGGATCAGTCTGTCCTCCGGCAGCAAACACTTCTGCTGGATTACAGGAGTAGCTCCAGGGTGCCCCCTGTAGGTTCACCCATCTACATATTTTGGCCCCCCGACTGTGAGACTCCGAGGCTGTGGTTGTTTATCTGTGTTAGCCACATGGTCCCCTGACGTTAGGTGGAGGGGCTCTGGACTGCAGGGAGGCGGCAGTTCCTAAATATGACCTGAGGGGGTCAGTGTGGCGCATTAGATAGATGATTTATTTACTGAAGATAAACATGTTTTTGAGTCAAAGTCAGAGTGAAGAGTCAGGTGTGTTCACAAACACCACCGGAGCGTGTAGACTCACGTCTAGGTCACACACACACACATCTTACACAACGTGTGGATGTTGTTGTTGTATGTTCCCGGGCATTGAACCCACAGTCTGTGCCGTTTATCCCAGGCTGACGTGCAGGAGCCCACATGCCCACTCCCACCACGCACAGCCACACCCCCATCCACCCCCCCATCCGCCGACTCAAAGTTCAACAGCGTTTTATTACTAAAAACAAGCAGACAAAGTTGTGCCACTGACCCCGTTTCTCAGGTATAAAGAGGCCCAGATGTGCAGCCACTGCAGAGAGTCTGGGACCGGGACGAACGAAGACCAGGAGACTTTAGTCCTCTGATCTGGTCCAGGTAAAAACCTCTTCTTAACGTTGTTTATTATACTTTATATTTGTAACTGACTACATGTTTACTAGTACTGGGACTTATTACCTGGGTGAGGCCCACAACATCAAGATATGGTCCATGTGGACACTGGTGTCCCTCAGATTAGGACAGCACAGAACCTGGTCTATGACGTGACCTTTACGTCAGAACAACGTCGTCGTCTGTGTATCGTTTTTAAAACATCTATTAGACCTGAGTTAAAAAACCAAACATCATTTTCTTTGTGGTGTCCATGTAGCAGACACCTTCAGACTGAAGACCCAGAGTCTGACGTCACTGCCGTTATCGACAGTGTGTTGTGTATTAGTAACACAGCTCCTCAACAGACTCCTCAAAGTCAGAGTAAAGTCAAAGTGTTCGCTGCCATTTAAGGTTTCTCCTCGTTTCCACTTTCATTTCAGTTCTGCTGCTCTGCTGTTTGTGACTGTGGTCCGGAAGAGGGGGCGGAGCGTCATCAGCCACGTCATATCATCCGCCGCTCTCTGATTGGCCGCTGCTCCTCACCCGACACAGCTGTGATTGTTTTCTGCAGAGGAAGCTGTGTCGCTGGTATGAGGTGTTCACGGTGAAGTGGAGTGACTGAGTGAACGACCACGACGATGTGAACAGACCAGGTGACTGTAGTCTCTGTTGTTGTTGTTGTCAACAGTCGGATCCTGAGGTTTGATGACCAGAAGAGAAGCTTTCTGTCTGAACCAGATAGTGAAGCCGCCTGGGAGCCGAGGTACGGAGCCGTGTTTACCGTCGTCCATCAGTAACGGACCAGACTGTCTGTTGAATTCTAATGTTATGACGGTGTTGTTTCAGCTCGTCACTGCCAGATGCCCAGACTAGAGAACCACTGCTGGAGCTGCTCCTGTGCTTCGAGAGTAGAACCTAAGTATTCATCATCAGCATCGTCTTCATCCACGTCGTCTTCGTCACCATCTTCATCTTCTACTGCAAACTCTTTGGCGTCCAAAGCTAAAGAAATGATGTCCATCATCACATCGGTGTTGAGCAGTGCCTACGGCTCCCTGCTCGACGTCCGAACTGCCAACTTAATCCGACGGGGACTGGTCCTCTTCACGGTCGGAGTGATTCTGGCCCTGGTGCTTAACTTGCTGCAAATACAAAGAAACGTCACCCTTTTCCCCGAGGAGGTGATGACAACTATGTTCTCGTCCGCCTGGTGGATCCCACCGTGCTGTGGTACAGCGGCCGGTGAGTGTTCGACACACAGCCGTGTTCGAGAACTGTTTTAGAGCCAAGGTGATCCGTGTTGCTAAGTTTAAGACCAGGGAGTGTAAGCGGGGCACGGATGTACAGACGAGCATGTCGGGAAATAGATCGCGCACCAACCCTGGTAGTTATATCACACAATTAAGAAATAAACACGACGAATAAAACCTGTGTTTACATAAGCGATCCTGTGGTGGGGTGCTGTGTGATCAGGGTGTAATAAATCATCGTTCGGCTTTGTTTTTGTTGGCTACCATTCAAGTTTACGTCGTTGAAGCAGCGACAAAGTTTATGGTTTTGTGTGATAACTGTGATGTAGGGGGAGGGAAACGTTTATGCGCAGATGACGGCTATGCTCCAGTTCTGATTGGTTACATTTGCCGGGCAAGAGACGAGCTGCGTGCTGATTAGCCGGTGTCGTAACGGGTGAGCTTAGGAGGCGTGGCATTAAGGACAGGAACCCGGAAGTCAGGAGGAAAACATGGCCGCTGCTGCTGCTGCTGCTCCCTTTATGTGCTGCAGGGCAGAAAACAACAGTGTAGCGTCGTGGTTTGACAGGATAATGCCTTCTACATTCTGTTCCTCTAGAACTGGGTTTACACTGTTGAATAATGTCTTTGTTACAGTTGATTATAAAATGTTAAAAGCTTTAAATGCCCTTCAAAAGTCTCAACAGAGTGGACCCTTAACATGTACAGAATGAGTACGATAGTTATTACAACTAGTAGTAGTTTAATAACTCAAACAACAAGGAATAAGTGTGAGCTACAGTTAAGGTTAAAAAGTCCCACCACTGTCTGACGTTCTTCTCCTCCTGTGTCTCAGCGGTCATCGGTCTGCTCTACCCCTGTCTGGACAGCCATCTGGGAGAGCCACACAAGTTTAAAAGAGAGTGGGCCAGCGTCATGAGGTGCATCGCCGTGTTCGTGGGCATCAACCATGCCAGTGTGGTATCCTTCAACCAAAATGTAGTCCATCACTAAGTTGTGTTCACCATCAAATAATTAATAGAAGTTATAATAGTCAGAAGTCGTGGTCTGGTTTATCTTATCTGCATTTGCAGCCCACAGTTTTATCTTCTGACCCCCCCCCATCCCTCCCAGGATCGAACCCTCTGTCAGCAGTCTCTGTGCCGGTTCATTCTACAAACATCTGAGCACAAACAAACACCACAGCAGGGCCACGCAGTTGGACTTTGACCTTAACTGCCCCGTTCCACAGAAACTAGACTTTGACAACAACGTCCAGCTCTCCCTGACTCTGGCCGCCCTGTCCTTGGGGCTGTGGTGGACCTTTGACCGGTCCAGGAGTGGCTTCGGCCTGGGCATCACCACTGCCTTCCTGGCCACCGTGATCACACAGCTGCTGGTCTACAACGGAGTTTACCAGTGAGTCCTTTAGTTTAGTCACAGCTGGTGTGACAGTGAGTTCTGTCACATGGTTGAAGGGTCTGTTAGTTTAAGCCACACCCACTGATGAAGGAAGAACTGTTCCAAGACTGTTAGCCTCTAATGCTAACATTAAAAATACCATACCAAATTAGACTGCCCCCGACAGGTGCTAGTTAGGGCATGATAATGGGGGGGGGGGCATCACTAGTTCACACTCTGACCCAGAAAAACATGTCAGCATCAGTCTGTAAGGGTCAGAGGTCATGTTTATTCCCATGATAGCATGCTTGACATCTGTGATGATTCATCTCTCTCACTTTCTCCCTCAGGTACACGTCTCCAGACTTCCTGTACGTGCGCTCCTGGCTCCCCTGTATCTTCTTCTCCGGAGGTGTTACTGTGGGAAACATCGGACGCCAACTCGCCATGGTAACGGCAGGAAAAAGTTTCCAGAACTTCTCTGCGTTGTTGCTGCTTCTAATTTTGTCACTTTTTTTTTTTACCTTGGCTATTTTGACTCCCTCATCTTGTACGTTAGCAGTGAGCAGTGAGCGCGCTCCGTCTGGCTGCGCTGAGTTTCTCGGCTGATGATTAAGATTCTAGTCTCCCTCTGTTGTTAAGTGAGGTTCAGACAGAACCAGACGCCTGTGTCCCTTCATAATTATCTCATCAAGCCGGGCCTCCACCGCTCATTAGTTCAGTGCCCAGAAGCCTCTGCTGGTCTGTCTGAAGGACCAGAGTCCCGTCACTCCCTCAGTTTGACTCGGTGAAAGCGTGAAAGCAGATTAAGAGCTGTTGTTGTTCGTCACAGCCGTGTCAGGACTCGGAGCCAGTCGGGACCGGGCCGGCCAACACCGAGGGTCATTTGCTGCTTGTTGTTTTTGTTTGTGATGAGCTCTGAAGAATGTTGGCACAAGTCTGGACTCTGGGCTCTTTGTTCACTGCTCTCCTCACTTCCCTCCAGCTGGTCTCTCAGAGGAGGATTAGGAGAACCACGTCTGGGACTGGGTCTCTGTTCTGGACCAACTCACAGTCCCAGACCTGAAGTTACTTCTTGTTATTTCTTTGTTTTTTCTTGGTCTAACCGTTCGTTGCCTTTGGCTTATTTTTATCTACTTATTGACTAACATTTAGCTTGGTATAAGACCTATCGACCGTGCGTTTGTTTTAGCTGAAGGTTTGACGTATGTTAAGTATTTTTAATTATGACCTTATGTTATTAGAGTGTTAGTTACACCATAATAAAGAAGGTATTAACAGTCCTTATCTCTGCCTTCCTCATAGGGTGGTCCAGAAAAAGCCCACATGGACTGAGCAGCGAGGAGAAGATTCCCACTGCAAACAAAAAGGACCAGTTTGTGGAGACGGAGGAAAAGACTTGTCGTTTTGGACTTTGTTTTTATCAGGAACAGAAAACTCCTCCTCCGGCCTCATCTGCACCTCAGTTTGGCCAAACAGCCTGTTTCTGCCACAGCCCACGTCCTACAGCCCACGTCCTACATCCTACTACGGCAGCATTAGGAATTCCTCTACCGTTACCTTTTCTCCCAAAAGTTTTTTTGAAGTGAACCTTTGACTGATTTGAATCTTGTGTTTTTGAGCGTGGACGTCAGTGAGCAGGAGTTCCTACAACAGCTGCGACTGTTGCTTTGTATTTTTCTCCTTCCTGATTGAATGTGATGATAAAAGGGAAGTGTACCAGTAGATTAGATTAACCAGCCACAGCAGAGTTCGTGTCGTTTCCAAACCAAATGAAGTATTTTGTCTTTCAAACAAACCTCGTGCTGGTTGTTCCACCAGGAGAGCGAGGGTTGACCAGGTGGTGTCAGTGTTTCTCCAAAGTGGGTCTTAACCCAGTGGGTCAGTGAGTTTGTGATCAGTCACCGTACCATGAAAGTTTTCAGTCTTGGTTTGGTGTTGTCCAGTCCTGCAGTTCTCTGCTGTCCTCCAGTGTTAGCGTCAGGGTCTGTGTTCCAGTCCCAGTCTGGGTCACCAAAGAAAAGTGTTCTAGGACTGACATTAGTTAGTTCCACCAGACTGGTTCAAGTCAACCCCCCCCCCCCAAAGTATGACATGTGGCTGAAAAAGGTTGGGTCACAACTGATAATGTCCACTAGAGGGACAGACGGAGTTGATTAATGTTAAAAAGTGCCAATTAGTGGAGCGTGGACTGGATCACGTTCGCGGTCAACAGTTGGAGGACCAACTGTTGTCCAACCAGTTTTCCTGGTTCATTCCCATCATCGTCTGTCGTTGTAGGATCTGGGAACACCGACCAATGGGAAGAGAGCAGAGGGCGTGGTTTGATTTTTTTTTACATTTTAAGATTTGCAATCTGTGATTGCCTGTGTATTATAGAAAAGTAGTGCTTTTGTCACTATGACTTTACTGGTTTCTCCTGGTTGGTACAAACACGACCACAGGTGTCCTGGCTCACCTTTGGTGTCAGACAGTAAGGACCTACAGTGTGGGGGGGCGGGGGTGGGCGTGGGGGGGTTAAGTGCAATCAAGAGTGTATACATGAGCCCATTGTTTTTCTTTATTTATTGTAGTTTTTGTTGTTGTTATGGTTTCAAGTATAACTTCAAAGTAT